ACGTGATACATAAATGATTGTGATAAATTTTATGTCATTTATATGATTTTTTTTTATAAATATTTATATTTTCAAATTTATTAACTTCTTGTGTTTGCATATGATAATTCTAATTTAAAAAAATTCGTAATTATAATTTTCATTTTTCTTAAATCAATTAATTAACTTTACATAATTTGGAACCATCGCCAAAGTGGTGCCTTGGGCCTACGCTGCCTAGATTAGGGATGAAAAAAAACCTGACACGAGACGAGGAAAACTCACTTAATCGGGTGTCACGGCGAGGAATTTTGCTCCGGGGCGGGTAAAGGTGGCCTTGCCCCCCTTAATTTTTTTTTTTTCCAGAATTCAATACTTTAAATGAAAATTTCACAAAATTTCATTAGATATAATAGAAAATAACAACTAGAATTATTCGTCTAAATCTAATGAATATGGACAAAAAAAATAAATTATCAAAAAAAAAATTTTAACGGGTAATCAAAGGGGCAAGGACCCCACCCTAAACGGGTAACCCCGCCCCCTGCCCTGCTCTGCCTCATTGTCATTCTTAGCCTAGATTTAGGCTGACCCTAAATAATTTATATACATTGAATTTTGCGCCAAGTACAAGAGCAAAATTCATAGGGGCCTATCAGGCCACTCACACGACGGGCCCCGCATGTTAAAAAAAAAAAAAATACACCCTTGCCACGTACAATGTACAATGAGTGGCCGACATTGAACTACTCCCATCCTGTACGTGTAGCATCACTGACATACATTATACTAGGTACAACATTTGCGTATGCAACCTTAGTCATATCCTCCTCTGCCACCATTTTTGTGGTGACAAATGAGAAGACAATTTGAATTTGCATCCATTGGAGCACTCCACAATCTCTTTGGACAAGCTTCTCTACCCACCGGAAATTTACTTCCAAGAACATCTTTTGCCCTCTACTGTGCCAACCCAACTTATCTCCAATTAAACCATTGCTTTGGCTCTACAGCTCAAAATCCACTGAACATCTCGAATTTGATTAACCCTAACCTAGGTCGTCTAACCATTGTTACTCTTGGGTGTATACCCAAATTCAAAGGTAGTTTAAACTGCAGGTTGATAAGAACAATCTTAAATGCAGGTTCTTGAAAATATTATTTCTTCAATCTACAGTCTGATCCATGGTTTGTTACCCTAAATATTCATTCATACCTACATAACCCCATTGATGGTGCCTCATCATTGAAGCACTTTAGAGCGTGTTTGGTGGGGATTTTTGGGGGAAGAATTGATTTTTGAATAGTAATATGATGGGAAATTTGTGGTTGAAAAAGAAGAAAAAAGTATTGATGTGATGAAAAATATTATTTTATTGAAGAACGTGTGATTTTAAACGAGAATTGATTTACTGTAAAAAATGAGAATCTATACTAAACAAACCCTTAATCACCCATTTAGCACTATGTAGAAAGATTGCAGGATTAGTCCCTATCATTTTATTTCCATCTTCTGTTAATCCTCCAAATTTCAGCATATAACATCTATTCCCTCCGTGACGCATTCAACCGAGTTAATTGTTTCATTAGTCACTGAACTTTCATAAATGTCACGGTTTACTCACTAACCTTTAAAACTTATCTCACTGGCCACTCAACTTTAAACTTCGCTGCTCCGTTGGCCACTGGATCAAAACAGTTAATAACGTTGTCCACGTGGCGACGGAATGGTGACGTGGCACGTTAAAATCCACGTCAACGCCATGTGTGCAAACGGATTACTCACCGAACTTTGCTCCATTGTCACGGATTACTCATCGAACTTTGTTCTATGTCACGATTTACTCACCGAACTTCCAAAATTGTCCCGTTAGCCACTGAACTTCACTATATTCAACTCTATCACTCACCCAAATTAAGATGATATTTGGTAGGGATTAAAATTGAATTTTTTGGTAGATTGTGATAAAAGCTTTTGAAATATGTGGTCGAAAAGTTGCGGAACCCATGAAATGGTTAGAGACGCATTTTGTTCTATCTAATCAAAGCGGGATTCAATTATATTATGAAAGAAGTGTTTGGCAGTGATGATTAGGGATGAGCAAAAAATTAAAATTGAATCGTACCGAAATGAATCGGATCCGAATCAAATCAAGCAGTTCTTCTTAAATTAAAAACCCGAACGAGTATATGAATCGAGAACCGATGGGTTCGGTTTGGTTATCTATTCTAGACCAAGAACCGAATAAGAACTGAATCTCTCTAAATTTTTAAATTTTTTTATAATGGATAAATCAAATTATTTTAATTTTTTCTAAACAATTAGTTAATTAATGCTCCAACTAGGGGTGTACAAAAGTCCCGAATCGAATCGGACCAAACCGAATCGAGCGATTCTTTGTAAATTAAATACCCGAACGGGTACCCGAATCGAGAACCGATGGGTTTGGATCGGGTCTAGACCAAGAATCGAAGAATCGAAAAAGAACCGAAACTAAATAATTTTTTTATTTTTTTATATTGAATACATTAAATTATTTTATTNGGTCTAGACCAAGAACCGAAACTAAATAAAATTTTTTATTTTTTTATATTGAATTAATTAAATTATTTTATTTTTTAAAATAAATTAACAAATTAATTAAGTAAATCAAATTATTACAAAACCCAAAACCAAATCATTTTTAAAGCATTAGCCCAATTTAACAACCCAAACCCTACAAAAAAGGTTGGTAATAAATATATATTATATCTTTTTATTAAATCTTATTAGTTGAATAATTTTTTATTTATCTAATATAAAAAAATTTAAAAATTCAGAGAGATTCGATTTTTGGTCTAAAATAGATAACCGAACCGAACCCATCGATTCTCGATTCGTATACTTGTTCGGGTATTTAATTTAAGAAGAACATCTTGGTTTGATTCAGATCCGATTCGATTCGGTACGATTCAATTCGAATTTTTTGCACATCCCTAATCATCACTGCCAAACACGTCTTTCATAATATAATTGAATCTCGCTTTGATTAAATAGAACAAAATGCGTCTCTAACCATTTCATGGATCTCGCAACTTTTCAACCACATATTTTAAAAACTTCTATCACAATCTACCAAAACATTCAATTTTAATCCCCGTCAAACATCATCTTAATTGTGTGAGTGATGAAGTTGGATAAAGTGAAGTTCGGTGGCCAACGGGACAATTTTTTGAAGTTCGGTGAGTATATTTGGGCGATTGATGGAGTTGAATATAGTGAAGGTCGGTGGCTAACGGGACAATTTTGAAAGTTTCATAAGTAAACCGTGACATAGAACAAAGTTCGATGAGTAATCCGTGACATAAAGCAAAGTTCGGTAAGTAATCCATTTGCACACATGACGTTGACGTGGATTTTAACGTGCCATGTCACCATTCCGTCAGCCACGTGAACAACATTATTAACAATTTTGATCCAATGACCAACGGAACGGCAAAGTTTAAAATTGAGTGGCCAGTAAGATAAGTTTTAAAGGTTAGTGAATAAACCGTGACATTTATAAAAGTTCAGTGGCTAATAAAACAATTAACTCCGGTTAAAAACTTGTTTTTGACTAAAATAAAGATGAAAACAACACTGACAATCTTTATCTATATTTTAGTACTTGACAAATTTTTAACTCCAATATAACAATTAGAATAATCCAGTAACCATTCAAATAATTAACCATTTTATTTTCAATTTACTATTGAAGCACAACTTTTAAGATCATACGAAAATAGATCCAGAAATTATAATCATCCGTAAATTAAACATAATAAAATCATTAGAAGACAAGAATGTGGCATTAATGAAATCCATTTAAGATCTGATGAAAACCTAGACAGGTATTCTGGACTAAAACGACACAACCCCCATTTACATTCACCAAACACTAACCCTAGAACACAAAATCAACCTCCTAACCGCCAAATCCATACAAGGTACGGCCCTGCCTCTTCAACGCATACACAACATCCATGGCAGTAACAGTCTTACGGCGGGCATGTTCTGTGTAGGTGACAGCGTCGCGAATGACGTTTTCGAGGAAGATCTTGAGCACGCCTCGAGTCTCCTCGTAGATGAGACCGCTTATACGCTTGACGCCTCCCCTGCGAGCCAAACGGCGGATGGCCGGCTTAGTTATGCCCTGGATATTATCCCTAAGTACCTTACGGTGTCGCTTTGCGCCGCCCTTCCCCAAGCCCTTGCCTCCCTTGCCACGACCCGACATTTTTCTGGTATCCTAACTTGAATCAGAAAAGCACCAATCCGAAAATTATCTTTTAAAGTAGATCGTTGATAACAGTATTGCATTTCGTATGTTTATATAGGGAGCGTGAGGGGATGGGAACATGTGACATCCGTTGGATTTTGAAAGTTAAATCGACTGACAAGAATTACGATCCGCGTATCTTAACTAGTGCGGTTGCGATCCGTCGATATAGATGTGAATCGAGGGTGGATAGTGTGGTTCTAATTTGATGGTGCGGATCGTGGTTTTTTATGGGAGATAGCCCTTTTTTCTTTTTTCTGATGGGAAGTTGTGTGTGTGTGTGGGGGGATCCTGGGGATGGGGGGGTTTAATTTAATTTTTTTATTTTATTTTTTTCATGAAGCAGCATCCCACGACATTTAGAGCTTGTTTAGAAGAGATTAAAATCGGATTAAAATTAAAAATATAGCCGTTGTTGTTAACTTTTATTAGACGGGTGGGACTCAATAACGACTATATTTTCAATTTTAATTTGATTAAAATCACTCACAAACAAACTCTTATTATTAGGGTGGGCAAAACTCGACCAAACCCGATTGAACCGCCAAAACCGAACCAAACCAACTAGTTTGAGTTAATTTTTTTGTTGTTTTTACACGGGTTGATTGTGTAGACATGTATGGTTGGGTCGAGTTATGGGTTAACTCATAAAAATCGAATAAACCTGCACAACTCAACCCGACTATATTATTATGATGTTGCTTGAAAACTCTTATAATAATATTATAAGATTTGGATATGAAGCATTTTACGAAAAATAGTATAAGTAAATACACATTCAACACAAAAATATTTTAATTACTAAAAACATTTCTTGACTTCATATAATTTAATATCAATAAGTCCATATAACATTTTCGAGCATGAAGTGCCAAAATAATTCAGATTTTTTTGTTCATTGCAACTATGGAGATCGAATATTATCAGCCTGTCTGGAGGTGATTAAAATTTACCAAATTTGATTTCTGGACCGTTTGTCTTTGACCATCAGACACAAAAAGCAGCCACTTTGTTTGAATTATAACCGTTGCCCTCTTCAACGGTCAAAAAAGGCCAATTTTGGCTGATTTTCACCAGAACCAAACATGTTGTATATACGTCATGAATCAATTATAAATTCGTCCAACCCGACCCGCTTACTTTGGTATTTGTTGACAAGTTATCCCAACCCGACCAACTCAACTCAACCCGACCAATATTTGATTGGGTTGTGTTTCAATCTTTACACGGGTTTGAGTTTGGTTAAATTACGATCAAATCGATCATATTGGGCTGGGTTAGGTTGGGTTTGAGTTGCGGCAAAAATCGACCCAACTCAACTCATGTCCACCCCTACTTACCACTACATTTTGGAACTTTATTTGAATTTATAAGGTTATGCGGCACGAATACTTGATCAATTTTGGTGTTCGAGTTCTTTCAAATTTTTTGTTAGCAAATGCTTTATTAGTGATACGTGTGAAAAAAGGCAACTGAGAACATCTTTGAAAAATTTATCGACTCAAATTATTGCTCTATGATACACATACACACACACACTGTTAGATTTTATTAATTTATTTTATAAAATTCAAATTTGGATAATCTAAGTGTTGTTCTTTATTCTGTTAAAAGTTTTAAAAATATTTTTTCTTTTGAGGTCAAAAATAGTTTTAGTTTTAAAAATCATTATTTTCAAGATTTTGCATAACTTTCACCTAAACTCAGAGCTTGTCTTTACCATTTAATCATGCTTTTAAGTATAAACTTTTTCATTTGAATTCGTAAAAAAATTAAAGCTTGATCGTACATGTATGATTTGAAAATGTTTTTTTTCTTATTATTTTATATTGTATTAGATTATATTTTCAAATGTATATTACATATTCACGTTTTAGTGCATTTATATATTGATTGAAATTTTTTTAACATTAAACAATCTTATTATTGCGGTCATCAACGATCGCACTAGCTGACTTATTATCCCGTATTCGCCACTGCACATAGCATCACTCTATAATTTATTATCTTCTTATAAGTATCATGTAACGACTCAAATTTTTACCTTTGGAATCATTATGCATGTACCGTAAATAATACTTTTCTAATCAAAAGAAAAACATAATATTTTCTTAAAATGTAAACATTTAAAATTAGTTTAAAAAGAAATACGATGAACATTACTAAAAATCCTTAAAATTACATAATTTATTCTTCATTTTCACCGCTGCAAGCACGATCCACCTCGAACTCAACTTTTCAGTTATCTATAAAAGATTTAACATATACACTTGAGATCATAAATCTCAGTAAATGAGTAATAATAAATCGCATCTGAAATTTAAATACAAAAAATCATAACATACATATGGAGACATGAGATTTAAAATCCGAACTTCGTGGCTATAATTCCCGTACATAGCGCTACTAAACTCTAGTTATTCGGACTTAAACATATAGGACTTATATCATAATCATAACTTGAATTTCCGTATCATCGTATTTATAATGTAAATTTTTATAATTCAAATATTGAAAGAACAATTCATACTACTACACTTATAGTCGTATGGAATAAGATAAAGCTAAATCGAAGAAATTGCTTTGTTAGACTTTCACTCTAAAATTTCTTAGACACTGTGCTTACTAGACTTTGTAATGTAAAAATGTGTATGTGGAAGATGAGTTGAGAGTAAGAGAGATAAAATGCAACATAAGTTGTTGTGAGTTGGTATAAGTGATGTGAGTATAAATCAGTGTTCAAAAAAACATGTTTCGGTAGCTCCTAGGCTCGAAGTTCTGGTAAAACAACTTGCTCCGTTCCTAGACTATTTTGTTTCCAATTCCTAAATTGTTGATTTTCTTATCTTTCATCTTCCTTAGGCGCACTTTATTAGTTTTTTTTTTAAAGTCTTTTTTACTTTAGCTTATTAATTTTTTTTAAAAAAATTTCATTTGACTTTTATTTCAAGTTTTTAAAATATTTTAGCTGTAAAAAAGTTGAAAATAATTTTATCCAAATAGTTAAATAAGATTTAAGTTATGATATTATCTATATTATGTAATTATAATCCCGAGACTTGTTATTTTGTTGCAAATTCAAAAATCATGTATGAAGTTCTTTTAAATCTATTAAGTAGGACTTGTTCGGTTAAAAATTGAAACTATGAAAAGTATTCTAATTTTTACATTTCGAAAACTTGAAAATTGTATAATTGACTAATTGTATAAATTATTAAATAAATATAGTATTTTATAATTTTAGATATTTGATATATATTATTTTAATTATTAAATGATTTAAAATGATTAAAATTTTAAAATAATATTAAAAATGAAAAAAACATTTTTTACGCCTAAATCTCGCCTATACTTGGTTAAACTTGTAAAGTTTGAAACTTAGTGTTCAAGTCTAGTCACGCTTTACGTTTTTTATAACACTGATATAAATAGGAATTTCTGAAATTGGACTCATTTATCTATTTTTGGTACTAGCACTCATTTCTTTATTAATGCTACACGTTTTTCCATATAAAATGTAATCAATCACTTTAATTATCCAATTAAATATATTAATAAATATATATTACTACTAATAAGATATTGCTATATAATTAAAACATTTGATTTAATTATTCCAAATTAAATATTCTATCATACCATATAAAAAACGCGAGATTGCTAATTACATATACATAAATAATGTTTCTAATTTTTAATAGATGAAAGTTTATCTAATTATAATAATTAACCAATTAATTAGGTTAATTGACATGAAGTATTTATATTAAATCATGCAATCGCATTTAATCAAAGTAGAAATGAAGTCATTTTCCAAAATCTAAATACGACAATCTCATAATCTATTCCTCGACTAAACATAATAATTCTATGATCATTTATTTACCAAAATTTGAAATTCAAAAAGTGCACAATGGGTCCTTCAAACTATGGAAAGTCATCAATTTGGTCTCCTAACTTTCAACATCTTATATTAAGGTCCCAAATTTAAGATTACCGACTATTATGACTCTTCGGGGTGTCATACATCAACTCCGGATTCAACATCCATTACACCTTTATATGTACTAACAATTGTTTGACCAATATCATGAAATTACAAATCTTCAAAATAAAGCTTGATTCTCAGGGGAAAAAACTCAAATAATTTCTGTTGACTTTAACTTTATTTTTCATCAATAATCAACAATAAAAAGGTCTGGACATAGCTAAATTGGTGAAATGTTACAATTTTTTGAAAAGCTACAAGTGAAATCTATAAATAGATTCAACGTCTTCTGATTAAAAATATGAAAATGATATTCTCCTTCTTTATTCACGTATTTTTTTACTCCATTATTTTCGAAAGACAAAATATAACCTCGAGTATACAACTTCTTTGCTTTGTAGTGTTCGATTGTTTTCGTTAGTGCACGATACAAACAGCATATTCGATTCCATCATAGAGTAGTATTTTGCATTTTAAGTGTGTATCAACGGTATAGTGAAGGCAAGGCTCTCAAGGAAAGTGACTTCGTGAAGTGCCTTCAAACTTAAAAGTTCATCATCTCATTTATTTTCTAACAATCCAACTTCTTCTACTGCTTTGAAACAAACTCACTAATTTGAAAAAATAAATTTGGCGATTAAAGTGAAATAACATTATAAGTAGAGAAAATGTGGATCTACACATTTCTACAACTTCGATTCGCATCTCATCGTTAACTATTAATAAGCCTCTGTTTGGTATCCATTCTTTTTTTCATTCTCATTCTTCTACTAATTTTCAACCACACATTCATCAATAAAATAATATTTTCCATCACATCAATAACATTTCCTTCATTTTCAACCACAAAAAAAGTATAATTAGTAGAAGAATGAGAATGAAAAAAAGAATGGTTACCAAACGGTGCCTACATTTTAATTGCATGAAAGGTTCATAACTTTTACACATTATCACATTTAAGGTGTGATTTGACACAAAGAATACATTTTTTCTAGAATAATGGTTACCAAACGGTGCCTAAATATCCATTTAGTAGTGATTTTTTTTTTTTTCTTTTCGAACGAAACCATAATTTGTTTTAATTATTTTTTCCAAAGTATTTGTTTATGATATATATTTAATGAGCAGACACCGAAATAACTTGTGGCTGTAGTTTAGTGGTAAGAATTCCACGTTGTGGCCGTGGAGACCTGGGCTCGAATCCCAGCAGCCACAAAAATTTTGCATGTTGCCTTTTCTGTTTCTTCTTCTGTATACGTCCAGCCCAGATGACGACGTATTTCTTTCCCTCATGTTCGTCAACGGCGTTGCAACTACGAATTCAAAATATCACGGATCGAAAATCATTCGCCTACAACGCATCACCCGTAGCCATCGTGTAAGATTCTCAGTTATTCACCAGTGGTTTTACATTTGACGATCGGAATCTGTGTTTTTGTTTTTGAGTTTCTGTTCGGAGTCTTTATTGTTAATCAAATGAATTGGTATATATAAATCCTTGAAATTAGAGAAATCCGTTTATTCGTTAGTTTTTTTCGATTCATTCTTTTTGTTGGTCATAAAATAATTATCTCAAGTTCTCAACTCATTGTGCTGTAATATCAGGAATGCTGTGGGAAATCACTTCTGTTGATTTGGATTAATAAAATTCATAATTTTAGTTTAAATTGTTGAAGCAAATGGATTTATTTACTCTTGTGTATTGGATTGATTCCTGCTTTGAATTTCTACACCGTTGGAACAATTGCACGGGAATTTGCTATACTGTAGGAATTCATTGTGAAAATAAATTAAAAACACAATTCGTCTCTCTAGATTAAAATCTTGGTTTTTCTTTGAACGCTGTGTTTGAGAATGATGGATGGATGCGTGGGAGCACCTTTTGTTTTGAGAAGATATATCCACGGCATCAACTTTCTTGGATGCTGTTGTTTGTGATAAAAATTGGGCAATTTGTTGGTTGAGTGGACTGACGCTTCTAGTGAGTAGATACTTTGTCAACTTTTAAGTAGAAAGAAGCTAGTTTAGTTTGACAAAAAAACTAAGAAGTTGAACATCTTTCATCTTGCTTTCAAATCAATGCTATTTAAAAAAATTGGCATTTCTTGGTATCTGTATATTTGTGCTGGTGCTTCTTATTTTGGTGGTGGCTTACCTGAAATTTGAAGGCAATTAAGGAGCTTTTTTGGCATCCATCTGTTGTATTTGTGTGATGTCAACTAGGTTTTGTTGACGTTTTCGTTATTTCTATTAACAAATATGTATTTGATGTAGTAAGATCTTTGCCCGGGCAGTGATTAAGATTCACTGCCAGTGCATTAGATAATATCCTGGAGATATAATTTTTCTGAACAAAAAATTTTCCCCTCTGTATAAGATTTTTTCTGTTTTATGCTTCTTTAATGTTTCATAAGTTTCTTCTGATATCAAGCGCATACATGCTATTTTTGTATATGTCAATCTAATTTTGTGCATACCTCGTGCCACTGAAGAGCCATTAGCTATCTGTACTACTATAATAATTACGGATAAATCGTTATTTGGCTATAGTCATCACCTCTGCCGCCCTATTTACCTTTGCGTTGGTGTTACATTAAAGCCTCCTGAAAAAATCGTCGAAGTTTCTATTTCCTTGAATGATACTCCCATTGGGCTAGCTCCTTTATGCCTATCTCAAAATCTTGTATTTCTTTCCTCAAAATACTGATGCAAAAACCCAAGGCACCCGAACAAAGAACCATTCTTCCTCTAAGCTCTTTCTTGCCTTCAGTATCCTCCATTTCAGCATCCTTAGTATACCTTAGAATCTTGTGCACCTCTCCATCTTTCATAATCGAATCACTTAACGCCTTTTGATTTTGGAGTTTTCCCTCCTCTAGGTCTTCAATTGTTTTCTCATCAGGTTCTTTAGAGACTACAGATGACTCTCTCAAAGTGGCCTTTTCAAGGTATCGCAGCGACGAGCTTAAAGTTTCCTGGAAATGTCCCGTAGCGTAATTTAAATGCTCCTGAAGTTCCCCAAGAGCAACACTGCAACTCTCTGGTAGTTCTGAAAGTATTTTCAAATTGCAGGTGATGAAGTACAGCACATCCACTATATTTGACAAAGATCCAACGAGCTTCTGGTAGCAAGAACTACGAAAGGGCAAATACCAGAAATCAGGTTCTGACTCTGCATCTGCTATGGATCTCTCCAGCTCACCGACAAGGGATTTCAGGTTTTCTTGCTTCTCTATAAATTCGTGAAATTTGGAAGATGGCTGGTCTTTTTGCCCACAATACAAACCTATATGTTTTATGCAATCTTGAAGTGTCATCAGGCTCTGATGTAGATGACTCGTTGCAAGAGTGGCTGCTCTGGTTGGCTGCATAAGAATCTCTACGATAATGTAACAAGATAGCCCAATGAGAACCTCAGTGAGTCTGATAATGGCGAATTCATTTGGAGTCCCATAATTTTTTCTTCCCAGTATCAATACTGCTCCTATGGCAGATGATGTTCCTCCTGTTTGGCCATACATACGACTGTGCCTCAGAAAGCCGGTAAAAATGATCCAAGGAACAAGAGCTAAGAACCGTAGCTCTGCATAGTTTTGGAGAAGAAAGCAACAGAGAACACCATAGACAGATCCAATTGCAGTCCCTTGTGCTCTAGTATTTGCTATTGTGAACACTGCATGTCTCCTTGTTACAAAACTGATGGCAATTGTGAGACCTGACCAGCACCCATTTTCTTTGTTAAACATCAAACCAAATAACACAGCCAGTCCCAAGGAAAGTGAACACTTGAATGCAAAAACGAATCTTTCTTTGTCCACGAGCTTCGTGATCCAACTTCTGAAGGCCTTTCTGCTGGCAAACACTGCAGGGTCTTGTTGAGTTTGGACTTCACCAGGGGATATGCGAGTATCTAATGGTGACTCGGGTTTTCGTCTCGCAGTTGAATCATCCAAGAACATTTCTATGCAGGAGAAGAAGAAAAAGACCGACTCTTTCATTGTGGAAATCGATTCAAGTGGCAAGAGAATCTTTTCCATCAACCCTCCTTCTTCGGGTGCTGTCATCGAATTGGAAGGAAATAAACATCTAGCCTGCTCTGTTTGCAGACCAAGGTGTGTCGACACACCTTGTATGACCTTAGAGAGCTCTTCTTGATCAACCCCACCCACCGGAAAGGCTGGAGAAGAAATTAGAGCATTCTCTATTCCCCTCATTGGCATTTCAATGCGTTGTAATCTCACTCCTGGATTGAAATCGGGTTTCCAATATCTGCTGCAAGGTCTCTCCCACTGCATCCCCGGCTGTTGAAGAAAATAGCAATATCAGAAGTAATTCGAAAAACCAAAATTCTCGCATATTGTTATCCTCAGGTCCCATTTAGGCTGACAGACAAATTACCTGTAAGATTCTGATACTATTCAAAAGTTTGCTTCCGGTTTCTGCAAGTGGCTTGGCTTGAGAGATAAGTTCCATTTTAGCTTGATTGTTGGGGGCACTGAAAGCTTTCAGGTAGAGGTTCATCCTCTCTGAAGCATTTTCAGCATATACTCTGCACAATTTGTGTACCTGTTGGCATTAAGAATATTAGCAACTAACATGTCAGGTGCAAATTGGAATAGCATTCCAAACATTCATAATTCTCATTTGGTTGGCTGATTAAACTATTTTATCGTATTCGACCTAAACACATCTCCACTCTCCGAACTATGTAACACTTTTGATGGTTCAAATGATTTTTTTTGTCTTTTTCTTTACTAAAATAAGGCTATTCACCTTAATATGTCTTTTTTACTCTATTTTTTACTAAATTCATTATACAACCTGATTCGGTGAGCCAAACTCAACCTAATAGTTAATAAATCAGAAGAGTGAGCGTGACAAATTCAAGTTTTCAGAGTGTAGCATACCTCATAGCAGGCCAGCCAAGGGCATGGAAGCAACAAGGCTAAAACGGAAGCCATAGCACCAAGGCCAGTACTTGATGCAACATATATAGGGTGCATGTAACCAACATTAGTACTATCGTAACAAACAACGGTAAACACCACAACAATCTGCCCGAAAGCGATCCGTTTGGATGTCAAATGTGTCGACTCCGGCAGTGCCACCAGGAATGACGACAGCGTCACCGCCAGAGCCGCCACACCGGTGGATAGCAAGCCGGGGCCAAGCAACCATAGGCAGAGCATTGAAAGCGGCACCACTTGGATTGTAGCATAAAATGCATGCCAAAAGCCTCTGAGTGTTTCACCAAGTGTGGCATCACCCACTATTAGTATGGTAGTTAAGTAACAGAAAGCTGGAAACTTTATTCTTGTTCTGACTGATTCTGGACCGTAGAGGGTGGTGCCACCCACTATGGCACATGCCATGGCGGTCCTAAAGGCGGAGTGCAGCCTAATGCGCCAAATAATCCGTCCACGCTCCGCCACTGTACTTGCCATCGGCATTGAAACTTAAAAGGAGAGGAGGGAGAGGCGTGTGAATAGATATATGTATACAACTTAACAAAACCAAAAAGAACTCTGTCATAAAAATAACAAAAAACAGGAGCCTGGAGGGGTATTTATGGGGAAGAAGATATTTATTAATCTGGAATATTAATTTAATTAACTTTTCAAAAACTTCTTATTAAATTTTTTTTTTTTCCATCGTGATGCTGACAACGTTATTCCAAGAAAATGGGACAATTTTTCCCATTGTCTCAGTTAATAAGTCCATGTTCGACCAGGCTTAAAAAATTTACTTATAAGTCAAAAGATTTCTTTTATTAATTAAAGTTATAAAAATTATGTCATTTATTCTGAAAGTAACATCTACATCTTTCTTTGCTATAAAAGTAATAATGTGGTTTTCTTGGAAATTTTATTGCAGCTGATTTATGTAATGCCATTAGGCGTAGGTTTCGTGCCCAAAGAAGAGAGGTGAAATGATGTCGAACCTCCAAAATTATGCATTATGATATTATCAAGTAACTAATTTATCACGCTATTAATATTGTCAGCACAAGTCAATTTAGAATGGAATTATACAAAATAATTATTGTAATTTGTAGTTCGTTCATCAAATTTAATTAATTTATTTTACTATTTAAGAATGTTTCTAAATTCAAATTTGTTCAAGAAAAGAAATGTTAAGAGGTCACCAATACATTCCAATGTCAAGTTGATACACTAGCCGAGCTAGAAAATTTAGTTAGGGGACAAAAAAATTTGGAGGGACGAAATGTTTATTTATTATAAAAAAAAATTGAAGAATATGTAGATCATCAATAGTTAGATTGACTTAGAGGGTGTTTGGTGGAGATTAAAATTAGATTTTTAGTAAATTGTGATAGAAATTTTTGAAATGCGTAGTTGAAAAGTTGTAGGACCCATGAAAGATGCGGTTAATATTGATTGTTTGACTTTGACTTGGATTAAAATTAGATTTTAATTCGGACCAAACATGGGCTTAGTTGAGAAAAATTATAAGGTTGGCGATCTAATTGGCAAAATGAAGGTCAACGATCTACGTGAAATTGAAATAAACGTTTCCGACTCCCACTTTTTTTTTACTTTAATTACCTCTCGGTATTTGAATTGTCTTAGAATTATGTTTAAGAAAATGTAAATCAGCTTATGAATTAAGAAATTTTAATGATGTAAGAAAACTAAACTGAAATGCTGATTGCTATTTGGACTGACTTGGAATAAGTCTATAAACATTAGGGTCATTATATTCATATTAGTTAGACTACATTTTAATTGTTACACACTCTATCATTTGCCAATTTAAAACACAATCAATTTTTATGTACAAGTAGCAAATAATACTCCATCCGTCCCACAATGATAAACCTGCTTTCATTTTTACACTGACTAAAGAAATGTAATTAATATAGTCAGAAATATAATTTTTTCTTATATTTTTTTAATATATCCGTAACATTAAATAATGATTTAAATATAAATAGTTCAAATTTGTAGATAACAAGGCACATTATATAGGAATATATTAGAAAAATAAAAAAATCATTTATACTCTTAAAAAGGAAAATGCACTATATTTTGGGATATACGAATATATCTTTATGGGATAGATAGAATATCATTTTTCAATGTTGCTACATATACATCAAGTTTGACATCAACTTTGATATCATTGTGAGATGACGGTTTTTTATACATTGATTTTAATAACACTTTAAACAATTATGTCATGTTTGTCTCCCATTATTTCAAAATATTGTTTGTTACAGTAAAATTCTCTACCACATATTCACCCAATAAAATATTCTACACACAAATCAATAAAATTACTTTAAATTTCAACCACGCATTCTTCAAAAAATATTATTCATCACTTCATTTTTTTTTACAATAGTGAGAGACAAACACACACTTAGTATCAAAGATTTTGTCGTATCTTCGAATGTAATTCATTATTTTTTGTTGAGATATCATATTGAGTTGACTATTCCCTATTTCATGGAGCTTAAACAATCTATTATTTACTATTTTTCAAGTTTGAAAAGTCAAGTTCTCGGATAATGGGTGTTTGGCACCCATTCTTTTGAAGAATGAGTTTTTGAATAGTGATTGATGTAAAGAATGCGTGGTTAAAAAATAAGAAGAATTTTTGGGTTTATGTGTAATATTATTTTATTTGGAGAATGTGTGGTTAGAAATGAATACTGTAGAAAATGAGAATGAGAATGAGATAAAAAAAAATGGGCGTCAAACGGGGGCATACTCAATTGGTTCACTCCTAAGTGCAATTATGACATTGTCCAACGTCGATTTCTCTTTTATTTGTGATTTTATTTTTACCCTTGATTTACATTCTAAAACGACGGAATTATCCTAATAATACGTACATGTTATTTCCGACGAAAGTTTGTACAAGTTCATTTTTCGGCACATCTTTTATTGTTGACAAAGTCATACAACATTTTTTTAGAAAAGTGTCAGAATTTTTGAATTATGCGTGTTCGGTAAAGTTTAAAATTGGATTAAAATTGAAAAATTAGCCGTTATGGTTGACTTTTATTAGACGAGTGAGATCCAGTAACGGCTATAATTTCAATTTTAGTTTGATTTTGAGTTGTACCAAATAAGCTAATTTAATTGGCTAATGGGATCCGTACAAATTTCAGAAATAATTATTTGATTTTTTTGTAATTAGCTACGTCACACAAGATTAAATATTAACATTTCAATATCAAATCAACATCAACAAAAGATAGAAAATATACACATGGAGAAAGATTATTTTCCAAATAATAATTAAACACAAACAATTCAAAAAAATATTCTATATTTCTCTCGTACGTGATAAAATATCCCAGTGTCACATAATTTCAATACTGAAAATAACTATTTTCTGTTACATTTGAAAGGCTGCAAATAACCAGAAGTTTCCCTATAATTAATGCAGGAATTTATATTACATAGAGATAGAGTATCCATCTGCAGGCCATGTTTCCCTCCTTAACATGGAAACTATTACATCCACCAGCTTTGGGGATTGAATAAGACACATTATTAGATATAAATACATGGTACAAGTACTGCACTCATAGGAGCAATATTAGAATTGGAGATCAAATTGAATGAGTTAATGGACAAATATTTTACACGTCTCTCTTTATCAAATTTATATCAGAAATTTGAAGCCATACACGTATACTTACATATAATACGAGTTGACACGTACACCTTACAGGTACGTAAGTTGTGGATCATACAGAATGTGATAGATAAAGATATGTACGAGAGCTAACAAAAAAGTTGAACTCTGCCGAGCAAGCCCATTTGACTTATAATTGTGGGACGTACAGTTGTGTGCATATTGATCTACGTAAATTGCGAGGCCAAAATTTATAAGCAATCAACTTATATTCCAAACATGCTCGATAGAATTCCACTTTCTACAATTTCAAGATATACGGGCCAATTCAAGAATCAACATCATCGTATTGAAATTCTGAGCAAACTGGCATATAGTGGGCAAGGAGAGGTAACACTTGGTCCAAATGCACTGCATGCCTAATTTCACTGATTATATAATTCATGAGGTGAGGCAGGTTTGCCTTCACAGCATGCAAACGATCCTTTCCACAATTCCACCAAATTGAGAGCATTTAAGAGTGTGAGATAATTTGGATACAGTTTATGAGTTGTGACAGGTTGATGTTAGGATAGGATAATAATATATACTTGTCTTTGTTCATTCAATGATATTGTCATCGAGCGTATAGAACACCTGGACCTTTCTGGCATATTTGGGATGTTGGGGATGCTCGTCTGTATCTTATTAGTATGTTAATTTCTTTGAGATCGAGTAATACTAAGAAGAAAGAGCGGTTAAATTATAATATGTCCATGTTTGGTAGAGATTAAAATCAGGTTTTTAGTAGATTTTGATAAAAATTGATAAAATGTGTGGTTAAAATTAAATGTTGACTTTCACTTGAAATTTTAATTCAAACCTAACATGGGCTATATATATATATATATAATCATGTTTGGTATCAATTGAAATATAAATTTTATCTTAAATCAAAGTTAACAATTAATTTTAATAACATATTTCATGGAATCCATATCTATTTAACTTTTATCAAAATTTACTAAAAATTTGATTTTAATCTCCATCAAACAGTGGTAAAATCACAATAAATTTTAATTTTTCTCTTTTTCTCTCGCCTTTTAACAAAATCTCAACTCTCCATCAAAAAAGGGTGAAATACTACGTTCTTAATATCATTTCGAAGTGTTCACGGTCTAGTTTTCTACGTCATTTATGGCGTACAAAACAATCAATCGTAGCAAATGCTACGACTTTAAATCAGGTTTTTAGTAGATTTTGATAAAAATTGATAAAATGTGTGGTTAAAATTAAATGTTGACTTTCACTTGAAATTTTAATTCAAACCTAACATGGGCTTTTTTTTTTTTTTAAATAATACATTTTGAAATTGTGATTTGATGGAAAATGTGTGATTAAAAAATAAGGAAAAATTTTGAATTTGCGTATAATATTACTTTATTGAAAAATGTGTGGTTGACAATAAGAGAAATAAAAATATAATTTGAAAATAATGGGTTGGTACCGATTGACTCTAAAATAATAATATAAATAGATATTGTTTGAACGCACAAAATAATAACATACATAGATACTCCGTGTTTGAAACATAGGCAATGTATATAAATTTGAGCTGTCTAACACCATAAGACATTATATACATAACACAATATGAATAACTTGAATGATAGGGTGAATTATAAACTACCAGATACTAATAAAGAATAAAAGACAAAATCAATCTCAGTCTACTATGTTGTTGATACGGAGAATCACTTGAGCATGAGGGTGAGGTTAATTTGGAAGGGAGTCTATGATGTAAAGAACAAACGAGTAATGTTTGAGTTGGATTCCCGAGTTTGATCCAGGGTGATATATG